TGCCAGGCCTGGAGACCATGTGCAGGGTCTCCTGGGGACATCTGGGGTTGCGGCACCCCAGCACCTGCCTGCTCTTCCAGGGTACAGCAGGACAGCTGACTCACGCAGCCAAGCTCATCTTCCCTCAAACAGGCAGGAGGAAGCAGAGGAGCCCAGCCAATGCCTCAGACCTGGGAAGAGAGCCTGGACCCCTCTGCCGTGGGGAGGAGGCAAGGAGGGTGGCACACTAAGGCCAGCGATCCCCTCCTCCTCCACTACAGCACCCCAAGATGATAGCCAGTGCTCTTGTGCTCCGGCCGCAACCATGGCCGTGGGCCAGACACAGTTGGGGGCACATCCATTTACACAAACAATTGAGCCTGGTGAAGTCGCTGCTATGTGTCCACATCTCACAAAAGACTGAAACAGGTAACTTGGTGAGGGTGGAGCTGGGATTGGACCCAGGGAGCCAGAACCCCCAAACACTGTCCTCCCCGTCCCGGCCAACTAGGACCCGGGGCGACTGCTGAAGGTGAAGATGGCAGGATCACCTACCCTGCCCCATCCCTGCTCCTACAGACCTTGCTGGGGGCGCAGCAGCCCAGGGCGCTCCAGGAAGCATCCAGGAGGTAAGACCACCACCGCCCTCACCTCAGATCCTTCGGCCTGTCTGCCCTGTTAACAGCCTGGAAAAGCAGCAGAGAAAGGCCCACGTGCTTGGATCCTTGCAACCACAAGGAAGACTCAGAAGAAGCTCCTGGCTCCTGGTTTCAGACCAGCCCAGCTCCAGCCATTGCAGCCATTTGGGAAGTGAACCAATGCACGTTCTGTCTCTTCCCCCTTTTCTGTTTGTTACTTTACCTCCCAAAATAAATCTAAAACATTAATAAATCATAATCACAAAGACCTAGATCCTGCCCTATAACTGAGCCTCAGTTTCTCAGTATGTAAAATGGACCTCACTAGGCAAGCTGCTGGACTAGGGAGTGTGTGCCAAGTGTGTAACATAATGTCTAGCGCACAAGAGGTGCCTAGCAGGTGCAGGCTGCTATCATATGACTGACTTGTCCAGTGTCTCCCAGCAGAGTCCCCTATTCAACCTCTGCACTTGGGCCTGAGCAGGTGGGAGACATGGTGGCAGAGAGGTCTCTGAGTCAAATTCATTGCCCCCAAGCAGCAGTAGTGTGGCCTTCTCCCTTTGTCCTCACCAACCTGCACTCATTCTCTGGGGACTGGCACAACTTGGTGGCCCCAACCCTGTGTGGCCCCAGTGAGCACTGAGCACAGGGCCATGAAGTGGAGCATCTGGCCCACCTAGGCCCTCTCTGTTTTCAACTGAGAACAACTTAACCTTCCAGGAGCTGCTGGGGTGGGGCAGGTGGAGCTGAAGTTCTAACAGCTGTCGGGGTGGGAGGACTGGGCCAGGCACCCAGACTCAGCTTCTGGGAATGCCAAGGCCCCGGGGAAGCAATCCTTGAGGTGGGCCATTTGATTCCAGGGCAGCACTGGGGCCCTTCCTAGAGGAAGCTATGGGAGCTCAGGAGCTTGGGGTGGGCCTGGCAGTCTTCTTGGAGAGAGACTGAAGCCCTGAGGGTTGGGGAGAAGCTGGGTGGACGGAGAGGGAAGGAAATGTCTTGAAGAAGTGGGGATGCATTTGGGCCATTTGAGGGAAACAGTTGTAGTATCACCCTATCTGGGAAGGAAGTTGGGGGGAGACTGTGCAGGGGCCCCAAGGCAATCCAGACACATCCCAACAGTAGCCTGATGAGCCTGCTGGCACCTACACCCCAACTCTGCCCACTTGGAGTTCACATGTGGGCCCTGCAGAACTGATGAGAACCATCAACAAGGCAGAGACAGAGACTTCCACAGGCCACAGGTCTTCCACACTCCCAGTCCATAGGAATGGGCTGTAGTTATCCCCCGTCCTTGAGGATGAGGCTGCCCGCCTGTGCTCCAGTACCCTGGGCAGAGGCTTCCTCCAGGCCTCCCTTCCTGAGCTGCTCTAGTGCACCTGCTACTGTCAGAGCCCAGGTGGGTGGGGCCCGGAGGAAGCAGAGGTGTCTCAGCCCCCTCCTCACCATTTATGCCACCCCCAGCCAGAACGTGGCAGCTCTCATTCGGCCCAAGAATGGCTTTTCAGGGGAGGATTCTGGGTGCTCCTCAAGCAGCCTGACCCTGGGATCACAGAGCCCCAGCTCCCCTCCCTAAACTTCAGTCTCCACATCCGCAGCCTGGATATGTGTGCTGGGGACAGCAAAAGTGGGCCAGAAGACACCTAGGAACCTGTACTGGGGTGAGTGAGAACTGCAGGGGAGCAGGGACAGGCTCACCCCCACAAACATGCCCCCCACTGCTTCCTTCTCAGTCTTCCTCGTGGGGGCAAGACAAACCCCAGGTGGGCTTTCAGAGCAGAACTTTGCACGGATGGGTAAGGCCCAATGGCCACTCATGGAACACACAGTTCCCATTCAAAAAGGAATGGGACTAAAGGGAGGGTGGGGGCGGTCCCTGGTGATGTGCTTGGAATGGTGGGTACAGCAGATGACTGAGGGGTCGGGCAGATCTGTCTCGGCCATCCCTGTTTCTCAGATGTTGGACTTGGTCTGTGGAAGGACCAGGAGCTTGCGAGTGCCCCACTCCTTAGCACACCCCTGTCCCTCTGTTCCTGGAAACACGTGATGTAAGCCTACACACAGCTCTACTGAACTTGGAAGCGGCCCTATGCTGGGCTGGGGTCCAGTTGTACCACTAACCTGCCCATTCCTTGGTGGTGGAGGTGGTCAGGCAACGGGGGATAGAACAGGGCCTCCTCCTTGACTCTACTTGGGACCATATGCTCTGTGCTCTGCTCCATGCAGGGCAGTCCGCTGGGGGCAGTGCCCCACTGACCCCAGGGTATCCCTTTCAGAGTGACAAGGGTGGGGCAGGTGCTGGGAAACAAGGTATTCAGCCACCGTAGGCAATGCCAGCATTCCATTATTAGAGAACCAGTTCTAGTCCCATCTACTCCTCTTCCAATCCGGCCGCCTGCTAGGGCACCTGAGAAAGTAGTCGAGGATGGATAGAATGCTTCAGTCCCTGCTACCCATGGGGGAGACCCAGGACGAGTTCCTGGCTCTTGACTTCAGGATAACCCAATCCCAGCTGTTAGAACCATCTGAGGAGTCAATCAGCAGATAGAAGATTCTCTTTCTCTCTCTGTTCCTCCCTCTCTCTCTCTCTCTCTGTGATCCTCTTTCCCTCCTGTTGATCTGTCTTTCAAACACATCTTTAAAAATAAAAGTAAGATGCCAGGACAGGGACCTAGAGGGACTGCCATGGGCAGAATCTGGCCACTGATGGATAACCCTGGTGGACACCGCATCTAGTAAAATGAGTGAGACACGCAGTTGGAAACACCACAAAATGTCACTCCTGGGTGGGTGCTAAACTCCAGCAAGCCCACGGAAGCAGAGAGCCAAATGATAGTGACCAAAACTGGGGCAGAATGGGAGAGGAGCCATGGGTCAGCAGACAGGCCATGGTCAGACAGGTGGAGAGGACTTCGGAGTGGAACCAGGGAACTCAGGGCAGCTGTGGTCATTGACAATGCACTGTACTCCGGAGCAATAGACCCGTGGATGCCTGAAACCACGGTGAGTACTGAGCCCTGCGTGTGTGCTGCCTTCCAGGAACCAGGAAGAGATTAACTACAATTAAGTATCCCATATACCTACATGCAGGACCAACAGTTATGTGAATCTGTTAGATGAATCTGCTTGCTCTCTCTCTCGACTGCGTTCATGAAACTGCATCTTTCTGCCCACAGTGACTGGAGAGCAGGTGACTGCTAACCAGGATGCAGTGGGACCCGCCGCATGGGGGGAAGCTCTTGTACCCACCTCCTGCCAGTTGGGGGCTATCTCACTGACCCATCTGCGAACTGGGGACAGTGGGGCTGGGGCCACGTCCGGGGGCTGCCTGCAGGATTCCCAGACACCACAACGAAACCCCTTGGACCTGAGGCCGTGGCTGTTGCTTCCCATTTGTCTTTAGGGCACTTCCAGGGGGTCTCTCAAGTCCCCCCAAAAGATGCTCAGGTTCTGCTGAGCCCTGTAACACTGCAAATGCAACTGCTATCCCCTTACCACCCAATTTCTCAGCGGCGATATTCTCCTGACCCCTTGAGCTCCAGGTGCCTCCCTCCCAGTCCCTCCAGAGAGCTGAGACCAGCACCTTCCATTGTCCCTGTTGCCCACAGGCCAGGCTCTCCTGCTCTCTGCTGCCCTGCCCAACAAGGCCCAGGCACTCAGAGCCCACAGACACCCTCCCTTTACTGCAAGGCCCTGGAGAGCCAAGAGAGACTCCCACTGGAGGCACAAGCAGGGAATGGAGAGAGAGCAGACCCAGTGGGCAGCCCCAGCAGAGGCCAGCAATGGCCCTGCTTGGGTCCACTCCAGAGAGCAAGGGCAGATGGGGCTGTTTCCACATCCTGCTAACCAGGATTGTGCCACCATGCATTTTGCCCTCTTCACCAAGAGGGCCCTGGGGTCCCAGAACAGGAGAAAGCAAGGCATACGGACCAGCCCATGCCCCTTGGCTGCTGGGCACCTGAAAAGCTGCCCATCGAAACCTGCCTGTCCCTCAAGACGCCTGGCTCTCCTTGCCCTGGCCAGGGGCAGAAAGAAACCAGGAACCATGCAAAGAAGGCCCATTGTTCCCCAGCACCTGACTCAGGCCGGGAACGCTCCGTCCTCTGCGTTGCTCTGAGTGACTCATAGTGGCTAAAAATCACAAGCTCTGTCCACTGTCTGCTGCTCGCACCTCCCTCCTGGGCATCCCCTGGCCACCGCCTCACCTGGAAGGAAGCACATGGGAGGGGCCAGGACAGGTGCAAGCTCTTCCAAGCTTGGGAGGCACCAAGATTTGTATGTCTATGAGGTTCTGCCTTTGTTCCTCAGGTTCTGGTGGCCACCTGGACCCCCAGGAAGAACCAAATTTCTCCTTGCAAGGGAAGTGACAACGCCATGGGGTGTGTGCCATGCAAAATGCCTCTTTATTACTGCATGGTGTGAGCAGGGGCAGGCGGGAGTGTGCACCTCTAGCTGGGCCAGCTTCTGGGCTCCAGATAGCAGCGGGCCTCGGGTGCCCAGGAGGGCACAGCGGCTGGGGCAGACAGGGCGAGGACACAAGCAGGTGGGCAGCTGATCTCTGATGGAGGTGGCTCAGTCTCTACTTCCAGCGTCCGGTGACTTTGGCCTTCCCGCGAGTCTTGGAGCTGCAGAGGAAACAGGACAGCGTCAGACAGGGGACCGAGCAGGGTGGTGGCAATGGAGGAGCAGCCTCCAGGGGCAGAACAGGGTGAGAGCAGCCCTCCTGGGTCCTGCATGCCGAGCCGGAAGCCTGTGACGGACACTCACACTTTCTGGTTATCATTGATCCTGTTGCGGAGGACGTTGATCTGCAAGTAGGATGAAGAAGAAAAAGAGTGAGCCCAACAGGAGAGTGGGACAAAGGAAGAGGAGGAAAGGGCACAGGGCCGGGGGGTGGGGAGGAGGAAGATACCAGGGCAGTGTACCATGGCAGGACAGAAAACTGGGTCTGATGACAGTGGTGAGGGACCTGATGGAGCCGTAAGGGCCAGGGTCAGGAGCTGTCATGGGCTCACCTCGTATTTCTGCTGCTTGAACTTCTCCTGCAGGTCGAACTTCTCTGCCTCCAGGTTATAGATGCTCTGCCACAGCTCCTTAGCCTTCTCCCTGCACAGCCCAAACAGGAAGGGGTAAATAATCTCAGCTCTCCTTCCCAGCACCCCCAGACCAGCCTGGGGTCTGATGGCAGGACCCTGTGTCCAGGAGAAAAACCCAGGGACTTCCTCAGGCAGGAATTTGAAATGGGAGGAGGGAGAAGCCACCACCCACAGCTCAGCCCATCATCCAGCTGGGGCATCCCGCCCACCATCAATGGGCGGCCAAGGCAGTCAGAGCTCAGAGAGCTGAGCTCTCCCTGGCTGTCCCCAAAGCCCAGGCTGGGATGGCCCTGACCAGTGCCAGAGACCAGTTTCACCCAATGTGCCTTGGGAAGACACATGGGGTCATGGCGCCCTCTGGTGCTCCACAGTGGGACTGCCCATTGCCCACCTCAGCTGGTCTTCATTCAGGTGGTCAATGGCCAGCACCTTCCTCCTTTCCGCCAGAATTTTCTTCTTCTTTTCCCGCTCTGTCTGCCTCTTCCCAGTTTTGCGCTCTGTCTGAGCAAGATGACAAAAAGAACCCTCTAGAATGTTTCAGACCCTGGTCCTGGTCCTCCTTAAACCCTGTGGGGAGGGCTTGAGGCCTGGAGACCAGAAGGGTCCTGGTTCTGACCCTCTTGCTCCTACATCCACCACCCAATTGCCTGCCTGGATTCCCAGGGAAACTGAGGTGCAGTCCAGGAGGGTCACTTCAGCACACCCCCACCCCCAAGCTCAGCTTCGTCCCTGCACTCCCCTCTCCAGCAGGGTGCCGGCCCCTCCCAGGGAGCTCCCTAAAAACTACAGAAAGAGCATTTGATGTTTGGTACCCACCTGGGCCTGCTAAACCCGGAAAGCAGGAGAGAAAAAACCAGAGAGAAAAAGCAACAGGGAACAGACACGGAGGTGGCAGCAAAGGACGGAGGGGACAGAGACACAGGGAACAAGATTCAGAGCCTGCCTGGCTCCCTGCCTGGCACAGCCCAGGCACTGGGGCAGGCGTGGGGGGATGCTAAGGCTGGGCTGGCATGGCCACTGCAGGAGCGTGGCTACTGCAAGGCTGTGGCACCGCCAGGCCCCCAGTCAGAGGTCCAAGGACAAGCTGCTCCCTGTCCACCCACAGCCCCCTACCTTAGCATGTCCCACCTAGAAAAAGCCCCCGGCTTCTACCCTCACACGGCCAGAAGCCAGCCTGAAAGCCACCCACAGCTGCAGACACCTCAGTGTCCGCAAACAGGCCCCCCAGTGCTCCCACCTTCTGGATATAACCGCCGAAGTGCATCATGTTGGACAAAGCCTTCTTCTTCCGGGCCTCGTCCTCTGCCTTCCTCCTGTTCTCCTCCTCTTCTCGCCGGGCACGCTCTTCCTGGGGTTCAGGGAGCAGGAGGAGGGCCCATCAGGGACAGGAAAGCCCCGCTGATGGGCTACCAGTGGTGGTCTGACTGGACAGGGAGCTAGCTGCAGGGGTTCCTAGCTTGGGGCCTGACTCCCCAACAGAGGGTGCAGGTGTGTGGCTATGGGAGGACTGGGGCTCACAGACAATCTGAGCTGGAGAAGCAGCAAGACTGACCAGTCTTCAACACCAAGTTCAGGCCCCATGCTGCCTCCTGACCCAACATATGTGAGCAGAGAGGGCCCTGAAACCAGGCCACTCACAGCCAGGGTCACTCACAGCCAGGCGGTTCTGCCGCTCCTTCTCACGCTCCGTGCGGATGCGCTGCTGCTCAGCCCGCTCCGCTCGCCGCTTCTCCTGGGGGCAGACAGGAACAGGCAATGGAGCATGCACAGCAGCGGTGGCCCCAACAGAATCCCAGGGGGAGGTCCTTCCTGCCCCAGCCATCGCTAGGAACGTAGGCAGAGACAGGTGGGCCCCAGAGGAGCTCCCGCCAGTGAGGTGACCATGGAGAGGCTGTTTCCAATCCTGGGGTTGCTGTCAGGAAGGCCTCTGTCCCCACCCTAGCTGGCAAGTGCTGGAGTGGCAGGACATAGACAGGAACCCGAGCAATCACAGAACAATGCATGATGCCCAGCAGTGACCTGAGGGTGCCCCTGGCCCGCAGGTACCCTTCAGTGGCTGGGTGGTCTGATCCTGGCTGTGGTCCCATCACAGCCTGGGCCTGGGTTCAGCTCTGCCTGTCCTCAAATGGGTCAGAGGTAGCTCCTACTGTCAGGATGCACCCAGTGTGGCGGTGTGGAGAAGGCAGGGCCCTGGAGCCACCTGAATGCCACCCGAAGGTCTGGGCTGGGGGCTCCGCGGGAGGGTGGCCCTCACAGAGTCTGGCAGCAGCTCCTGACACCTACGATCCTGTCTTTAAGAGAGATGAGCTCCTCTTCCTCCTTCTTGCGGTTCTCAAAGTGTGCTTCGATCAGCGTCTGCAGCTCGTTCAGGTCCTTCTCCATGCGCTTGCGGTGGATGTCCTGCAGGGGGAGCCAGGGCTCAGCCCAGGACACCACTGGTTTGCTCCAGGGCTGGCACCCAGCCCAGCCTGTGCCCACACCAGCCCTGGGGGTCATGAGGTCTCCCCATTTCTCTCTCTCATCAAGGACCCTGTGTCCCCCGACCCCCAGCCCAGGCCTGCCCTGCCCAGATAGCTGCTCACGTCAAAGTCCACTCTCTCGCCATCGGGGATCTTGGGCGGCACCAGGTTGGGCATGAAGGGCCTGTGAGGCAGGAAGGGATTGTTAACCGTGGCCCGCAAGTTTGGGGATTTCGCCTTCCTGCGGAAGCAACCACACCTGACATCCATGTTGAATGTGACATCAACACTGACATGACATCAATTTTGACATGTGATGTCTACACTGAGCCTGTACGCCTCCCCAGCACCCGGCTCCTGAGTGGGTCAGGGCATTGTCCACTGTGCTGGGAGGTCAACTGTGGAGACAGGGAGCCACAGGTCTGAAAAGCCGGGAGCCTGACCACAGGGTCTCCCCAGGGACCCAGTCCAACACATATACATGTGAGGTGTATGTGTGACCCAGTTTCCCTGGCTGCCCTCATGGCTGGGTGGAGTGGAAGTGAAGGTTGGAAGAGATGAACTGGGGCTGCCTAGCTGGGGCAGGAACCCACCTCACTCCTGAAATGGGGAGGTGTGCAGGCTCTGGCTGTAAGGGACACACACCCGCCTCAACACCCACCAGCACTGGGCGGCTGCCCAGGTGTGCCCAGCTATGCCCTCTGCAGCTGTCTGGAGCTGCCACCAAAGCTGGTGCCACTTCATCTCTTGGATCCCCCAGTTTTGCCCCAGGATCCCCTCAGGCCACAGAGAGCAGCATGGTAGTCTAGCCATCCTGTGTCTGTCTGGGGCTGAGGCTGGGCCACCCCTTTCCTCTAGACAGACATGGCCTTGTACTGGCTCCATGTGCAGCGTGTAACCTGGACAACTGTACATTATCGGCAGTGCCCATGCCCAGGGTCAGTGCTCATTCCCCTCTGTCACCGCCCCATCCCCCTCCCACCCTGGGCTTTTCTACAGGTGCATCCACTCACCTGGGCTTGGGTTTAGACTCCTCCACGGGGCCATCTGAAGGAGAAAGACACATAACCATGGGGTCAGGAGCCCCAGGTCTGGCTCCAGCTATGCCACCCCCACGCCTCAGTGAGCTGGGGCATCGGGCAAAAACCCAAGCAATCACAGAACAATGCATGATGCCCAGCAGTGACCTGAGGGTGCCCCTGGCCCGCAGGTACCCTTCAGTGGCTGGATGGTCTGATTCTGGCTGTGGTCACATCACACTGCACACTCAGGCCCTTACAGCCCTGGAGGTCCCTGAAGGCAGCAGGCACAGGACCGGGGGAAGTCTCAGGGGACAGCTGGATCCCACGGGGCTACACTCAGCTTCCAAGCTTTCTCTTGTCCTCCAGTTCTGGGCAAGAACATTTGGCCAGTGAAAATGTCTAGATGGCAAGGTCCCAAGGGGCCCAGGCCCTAGAGTTCACTCCTAGGTCTCCCCTAAACTCCCTGGAAGCCAGCCCCAGGCACTGTCTGTTCCTGGAGGTGTGTCTAGAACACTGTCCCAGCAGGACTGTCCCCAGCAATGCCACTCCCACCCCCAGGACCCACCACAGACCCCAAACCCTCCTGGCCATCTTGTCTGAGCTCCAGAAGCCTCCTGTAGGGCATCACTTCTGCCCCACCCCGCCCCACCCACCCCCCGCCCAGACCAAGGTGCTAGACACCGGTCCCATGGTCACAGGCCACCACCAAGGCGACTCTCCAGGGCAAGGAGGGGTGACAGTCTCGAGCTCCAAAACTCACAAGGGCCCCCATGATTCAGTCCTCCCCACCCGCCCCACCTCCACACCAGAAACCCGACCTCTGTCCTGCAACCCAGCAGCCTCACCTTCAGTTTCCTTATCGTCCTCTTCCTCTCCATCTTCTGAACCAAACACAGGAAGTCAATCCAGGGAATCCTGCACACCAGCCCTGCCCCACCCACCCCCAGAACTCCCACCCCAAGACAGCCCCTAACAGAGGTGCAGCTGCTGGCTTGGTGGGTATCCAGAGGGGGTCCGGAGCCCGCTCTCACATGTGTGCCCCTGGGCCCAAGACTCTGTCAACACAAATGCACTCTAGCTACATTCATTGGCTGGACAACCGACAATTGACTCCACTCCACCCAGGCCGGCTAGAGGTGGATTGCTCTCTGCCACAGAAACAGCCCTAGGGATGCTCCCCACCCTGTGAGTCCCTTGCACTCCCACCTGGGGCCTTACCCTTGGCCTCCTCTGTCTCATCCTCACCCTCTTCCTCTGCTACCTCCTCCTGTTCTTCAGCCGCTTCCTCCTGCTCTGGAGAGGGGAAGCAGACCCAGTGAATGACCAGGCCCCACCATCTGGTCAGGAGACGGAGCAAACGGTGGGGAAGAAGGGACAGGGCTCAGCACTTTTGAGTCCACACCACTGTTATAAGGGACAAGAGGCCGCCTTGGGCTTGGCCAAAACTGGAAATCAGCGAACCACAGCTCAGGGGCCAAACCCAGCAATCCCCCCAATCCCATCCCAGACAATTTCTCCCAATAAAGTTTTATTGGTATCCAATCAGAGACATTCCCCTGTGGCTGGCTGGCCATTGTAGCATCATTGAGGAGTGGTGCCCCATCCTGGGTGCTCGCAGAGGCTGAAATGCCACCCATTTCTTCACAGTGCACGCTTGCTGGCCCAGCCAGGGGACAGACAGATATGACTTTGAGAAACACTTTGACCCTGAACTTGCCTCTCTTGGATAGGCCTCTCTGGGAAAGGGCAGCTCCAGCAAGACTCACCAGAAGGGACCAGAAACCCAGTCTGCTAGCTCCTTCTGCCTGACTTAGCACCTCTTTCTCCAGGGACTTCCCCAGGGGTGTGAAGCCCCCATCTTAACTGTCCAGCCCTCAGGATGGGCCCCGTCTAAGGGGAAGAGCTGGGGAGGCCCCTCTCCCGGGCCCAGAGGCTCGCCCTGTGCTGAGCCGCACTCTTCCGCATCGGCAGGGAAGCAGGCAAGCAAGACTGAGGGTGGAGGAGCTGCCCAGTGGTCAGAGGACTGCCCTTGGCACCAGGCTGGCATAACCCTCGGTCACTGCCTACTTCCTGGGCAGAATATGGACCTTTCCCCACCCCATGGTGCTGAGGCACTTGGAGTGGACATTTGGACCAACAGGCAGGCGGGATGAGCCCTGGCCGGTGCTCTGCCCGAAGGCCCTCAGTGACCAAGTCAAAAGGTGGAGCAAAGGGGCCACCCCTACTCTCCCTGTCCCCCTTCTGTCCCCAGGTCAGTCTCTTCTGAGGACCAGAAATGCCTTATCTTTGACTCCTGGCAGTAGGTATATCACCAAAAAATTATCCTTCCAGAAGCCGTGAGAGTAGATGCCTGCCCAGGAAGGATCCTACCAGCTGTGCCTGCTGACACCCCTTCCCACTTGTTGGCTGTTCCCTCTCTGTGCACCCCTCCGCCTTGTACTTTGTGGCCAGGCAGCAACCCCATCACAAGGCTCCCTGTACCCTCATCCCTGAGAAGTGGCCTCACCGCCCCGCCCCCCCGCCACGTGACCAGTGCAGTCCCCCACCCCAGGGGCTATCTGCAAGTTTGCCACCGTGTCCCATGGGATCCAGGAAATCCCCAGTCCCTGGGTCACTTGGGCCCTAGGTTCCTCTGGCCCCAACCACCTGCCTAGGTGCTGTCCAGCTCCTGGAGCTTGGGATGGGCAGTGAGGTGGGTGAGGCTACTCAGCTCAGACACTAGTCCCTTGGGGGCATGCTGGGAGCCAGCTGGGACCTCCTACCACCCAGCCAGGACAAGGAGCCTGTGATCCTGAAGGAGAGATGTGATGACTGACTGAGAGCTGTGGCCCTGGGGGATGAGTTTCCCATCCCTCCTCCCAACACAGCCCAGAGGACAGGTGCTGGCTATGAAGAAAACAAGAGCAGGAAGTGGCGGGGGAGGTGGGGAGGGGAGGGGCAGTTATACTACCGTCTTCGTCCTCTCTCCAGTCCTCCTCTTCTGGGGGGTCAGAGAGCAGCAGCAGCAAAGGGGAGAAGCGAGATAGGTTAGTTTGCGGAGCAGAGAGGCCAGCAGCGGCAGCAGGCGGCCGGGCCATGCATCCAGGGCAGAGAATCAGGCCTTGGCTCTTGTTCCTGGGCCAGCATGAAGCAGCAGCTTGGGCAGCACACACAGCCCCCTGGGGACATGTCCTTTAGCCTCCGATGCAAAGTGACCCACCTCCACCATGTGGAGTCCACAGAGCAACTCCACCTATGGGCACCATCAAGGGAACAGGCCTGGTGCCCAACTGAGGCTGGTCCCTGGGAAGCTATTGCTAACTGGTCACCAGCAGCCAGGTCCTACCTCTGGATGGCCCAGCTGTGGCTTCATTCTCATTAGGACAGATCACAGCCAAGAAGCCATGGTGCTTCTGGTCCAGGTCCCTACCACTGCACACTCTGGGAGACGACAGGTGACAGCTCAAGTATGTGGGTCCCTGACCCCTTGTATGGAAGCCTGGTTGAATGTGAGGCTCATGGGTTTGCCTGGCCTAGCCCTGGCTGCATCAAGCATCAGGGATAAGAACCAAAGGATAAGGGAACTCTTTCTCTCTCTGCCTTTTTTTTTTTTAAGGATTTATTTTATTTTTATTTGAAAAGCAGAGTTACAGAGAGAGAATCTCCCATCCACTGATTCACTCCCCTAACAGCTACAACAGCCTGAGTTGAGCCAACCCAGCCCAAAGCCAGGAGCCTGTAGCCTCTCCTGGGTCTCTCATGTACGTTCAAGCACATTAACAGTGAGCTGAATTAGAAGCGAAGCAGCTGTGACTCAAACCAGTGCCCATATGGGATGCCTTTCAAATTAAAAAAAAAAAAATCCTTAATTAAACAAACAGGGCAGAGAGCAGGGACAGTAAGCCCCCATCAGACTTCTCTGTGTCCCTCCCCTGGGTGCACCTCTGTGATACCCACAAAGCCCCAGGAGTCTCACTCCAGGAAGTCCTGTAGGGATCTGGTGCCAGCAGGGCAGGCCTGGCCCCTGGGAAGGCAAGCTAGCCCAGCGCCAGAACCACAGAGCACGGCCTGTGGGCCCAGCACTCGTTCCAGATGCCAATCTCTGCCCAAGGAGAGACTGCAGCCGTTAGAACAACTCCCGGAAGCAGGGGCACTGGGAATGCCGCTATGTGGGCTGCAGGTCGTTCTTCCAGACCTCACTCCCCAGCACCTTCAGCAGTCTCTTAGGCCATGTGGGAGGCAGTGTAGGCCAGCCACAGCTAGCAAGCAGGACTGTGTGACACTCAGACCACCTTGCCATGGTGATGCAAACTCTACTGCGTGCAACAGGCCACCAGGTCCCCATGGCCGGGGTGGGAGGGCAGGGAGGACATTTCTCAAACCCCCCACTCAAAATCTGTCACCATAAAGCAGAAAAATCCTCCCAGGCTCACAGAGAACCCCATACAAAGAGTCCAGCTGGAAAAGTGACAGGATTCAGAAGTAGCTACAACTTGATTCAGGAGATGCTCCAAGTACAAAATACAGGGTGCTCCTTGCAAGCCCGATGGGATCCCTGTGACCTTCTCTTGTCTGCTCTGTGGCTGACTCCCATGGAAGAGACCTCCTTCCTGCAGGAGGCACCAGTGTTCCCTTACAAGACCTGCGGAGTGAGGCAGGAGTCACCCCATGGCTCTCCCCCAGTGGGTGTGGTTCTCCCAGCAGCTGCATGTCAGGAACTGAAGTGCTGTTTCTAAGTGGTTTTGTGGAACCACTAAGAAGTGGCCTTTAACCTACATGGGGTGCAGAAGCCTGAGGTGCCCAGTGGCCGCAGTTGGGATGTTGGGTTCTTGGGAGGAAAATATGCAAGGATGTCTTTCCAGCAATCTGGAGGACCCAAAACTGAGGAATACTCCATGCTTGCAGAGGGAGAGCGAGTCAGGTTTTGCTGGGTAACAATGGCATTCATTTGTGTATGCAGAAGGCACCTCAGCCAATGGCACTCCTGCACTGGCTGTCACAACCTCATATGCAGAACCAGGAACCTAAGTGTTTTGGTGCATGATAACAGGGTTATCTTTGTGTTTTATAAACAGGGTCACCTGGAGGAGGGGTGCCCTGCAGTGGCAAAGCTGGGAAACTGAGGCATGTTGGCACGGTTGTTGTCTCTGTACACAAGGACTGGGGTATGCAAACTGTCTTCCCCAGGGACCTCCCAGGAACCCCACATGCCGGAGACTTGGCCGCTCCAGCCCTCCACTCTCCCATGGTGCTTACCTCCCACGGCTGCCTCTGCTCACAAGACAAGGTTGGGACCACGAAAGAGAGAAGAGGTGAGTCAGTCTCAAACCACACGGTCCTCAGCCCCAGTGAACACACAGGGCTACTCACCTTCCTGCTCCCTGTGTATAAGAGGATAGTGTCAATCAGACACAAACATGCACCACTTTGTGCCCAGGGTGTCACCCTAGGATTTCTCTCCCTCCCTGCTGGCTCGGCCCACCATGACTCTACTGTCCATCCAGGGCTCCCAGCCTCTGTCCCCACCAGTCCATGGCAGCCAGATGGTCTCTTCTGCCTTCTGCCAGGAACTTATCTCTGAACTCTCTCCAGAGTGCTCCCTTTCTAGAAATTTCTTCCTTCTCCCCAACTCTCTCCCTGCAAATTGCACATGAACGACAGGTGCCTCTCTGCACCCCACACTGCTGCACTCCCCTCCCCCTGCAGCTCCTAATTGCCAATCCCTCCCAGCATGTCCCATCTGAGTGCCCTGAAGGGAGAGGGCATTCCATGAAGGTGGCAGGACAGCACCTTTGGGCAAAGCAGGAATCCGAGTCTCAATCCCATGCCATGGGGCCTAATGGACTCTGGGGCCTCGGAAGAGGTGTTCTGGCTCAGTTCCAGAGACACCATTCTGCTGGTGGCCAGTCCCTTCACTGGGCTGGACCCACTGACCCCTGCATGGAACCTCTGCCTTTGAGTACCTGGGGAAAGGGGTGGTGGTGGGAGGGAAGGGTGACATTTCCCCACAGGTTCTGAAAATAGGCCCAGCCACTTCTGCCCTGGGGACACCTGGGACAGTTGCAAGGGGTGTGTGGGGAGGAGACAGTCCTGGGGGCAGGAAGCCCCAATACTCACTCCTCGTACTCCTCCACCACCTCTTCCAAGTCAGACATGGCCGCTGCTCTCCCTCCAGGAAAAGAAGACAGTCAGCGTGGGTGAGAAGGGCTCTGTGCACACCCACACACATGCATGCACACACGCACAGGGAAAGCTCTGGAAGTCTGCATAAGGTCATGGGCGGCTGGGTCAGTGCCCACATCCTGGTTGTGATGAAAATGTTAGCGTTGACACAGAACAGGGTGGGGGCACCTGGGCAAAAGCACTCCGAATCCTCCATTTTCTTTTACCTAGGATAATCCCAATAAACATTCCAACCAAGAAGTAATTCTGGACACCTCACTTTAAGCAACTCCGCCCACCACAAGAGGAACAATCCGGATCCAAACCCTCTGCCCTTGGCATGACAGGGGCATGTGGCCAGGGTGTTCTGACAGTCCTCTCTGGACTGCAAAGTGTACACAGCCTAGCCCCTTGCAGGCTATGTGAGGATCAGGTGACGTTGGTGAAAGAGGAAGGTATTAGGCAATGTCAGGTGTTTCTAGATACAGGGAGGAGCCGAAGCGAGAGGGACAGGGCAGGCGCTGGAGTGGGAGACGCATGGCTCTGACCCTTGGGGGCATGCAACCTTGGAAATGCCATTCTCTTTCTCCACCGGATGGGCAGGAGGCTGAGAGTCAAGTGAGTTGCCTGCCCTGCACAGGCACTCCACAGATCACTGACCACCCAGTGTGATAACCCAGCAATGGACTGGAATCTGACAGTGCCCCCGGTTGTTGTGCAGTGTGGACCACTCTGACGTTGGTTTGCAAGGGAAAGAAAGCGTGAGGATAAAGTGAGGCAACCAATGCATGAGAACGCCAGGTGAACCACCTGCTGCTCTGTCCTGCACCACCTACCTCCTGCCAGCACCCTACCTCCTCTCACCCAAGGGGCAGGGTAAGAACGGCGGGCCAGAGACACCCTGCTCATTCCTCTTCCAATCCTTCTTACACCTCCCACCACCGTGGCGGAGACCTGCCCCAGGTGCCCCGTCTGCACACATCCAGTGAGAGCCACTGCTCTGGGAGGATGGGGTGTCATCCACCACAGGGCAGCCCGTTTGGGGCCAAGGTGGTTAAGCACTCCCTAACTGCCCCTCTGGGTGGAAATTCCCTTGGACACAACCCACCACAGCCTTGGAGGGGATGATGCTCTTGAATTCTGCTGTGGGGCTTCTCCCCGCTCCCTCTGTGCAAATGGGGACAGTGAGGAAAGAGCTCTGGCCCCAGCTCCGAGCCACCTGCTGCCCCTCCCTTTGGGGTTTGGAGAAGAGATGTCCATGGTGTAAGGTGTCATGATGGGGCACAGAGCCTGGCAATGCTAAACCAGTCAGCCCAGGGCGTTTGCCCAGGAGTGACAGGACAAGAGTAGCAACAGAGAACAGACAGCCTGGGCCCCAGAATGGGTGGGGAGGCTCATTATCGAAGGTGACCTGAGGATTTGGGGGACTGCTACCTTAGCCAGGGCAGGGGACTGTCCTCTCCATACTGCCCTCTCATTGCTGAGAGCCGCTGGTTTTTGAAGCAGGGTGGCCCAGCTTGGATCCTTGGGGACGCCATCCGGCTCCCAAAATAGCCTGCACAGAGCCACACCAACCCTGGACGTTCAAAGCAGGACCCAATGAGGGGCAATGTGGCAGGCTGAGGCTGGGGGCTTTCAGAACAGGAGGAAGTGACAAATCTGGCTTGAAGTGTCCCTGTGGCCCAGAGCCCCGTGCACAAGCTGCTCCCCAGCCCCATGTCTCTCCAAACCGGGACATCAGACCACCTTTCTTGGGGAGTGGAGCAGAGGACAGAATGAGTCACAGGGCTTGAGTGCAGAGTCTTGTCGTGTGGCCTTGGTGAGCCAACATGGACTTGGAGTAACCTGTCTCTCTGAGGAGCAGCCCCTTCCAGCCTGCCAGAAGAGCCGAGCTTCTGGGGTACCCTACCCCATCCTTCAGCCCTTGTCCCTGAGGGGTAGCCAGCGTCCTCCCTAAACCTGCAGCTACTAGCCCTCGAGGAGAGCTGGGGGACAGAGCACGAGGGAGGGACAGCAGGCAACTCGATCCTGACAGATGCCTTTCTGCCCTGTGGGACAGGAGGCCTGCCCAGAGGACACAGGTCAGGGGCAGAATGGCCAGGGGCTGCTCTGAAATGTTTTATGGTCCAGGGACTACCCCTTTGCTCCCTCTGCCTCCCAGGCACAACACAAGGTGCCAGGTATGTGTCAGTGGGCAGCTGGGGGACATGCATTGTCCTTGCAGGGTCACAACATGAGGAGCTAGACCCGGAGCTGACCCTGCAATGTCAGAAAGCTGGGCTCAACCTCATAAAAGGACCCTCGAGGAAGGGGGTCTTCCCCATGCCCTCCCACCCCTATCCCAACTACACACTCTTCTCTGAGGAGGATGGCGGCCCTGGGCGGAGTCCAGTAGAATTCATGGGGTAGCTGGAGAGGAACCCGGAGTTCCCTGCTTGCTCCAGCGTGGGCTCCTTCTGGATGCTTCCAGAACCATCTGTGAGCACCTGCAGAGTGTCTTGACCACAGGGACTCCCCCAGGCTGAGCCAGCTGCATCCCCTTCTGCACCCCCAGACCTGGAGGAGGACATGCCTGGACCCAGCCTGGAGCCCTGGGCACAGACCAGGCTGCTGAGGAGTTAGAGCAGGCAGAGGCTAGGCAGAGATCTGGCCCATTCTCCAGATGAGGGACCTAAGGCCTGGGGAGGCCCAGGACTTGACAACTACTTTAGCAGCAGACCCCAGACTCGGGGCCCTCTGCAAGTGTAAGCCACAACCCTCTCCACCCTGGGCATCCCCTCCAGTGTGGCTGCCTGCCAAGCTGGAGCCCACTCAGAGTGGGCACAGCAGGCACTGATGAGGGCTGCCAGGCCTGGAGCTTCATGTCCTCCCCTGCCCCCTTCCCTAGCGGCTGGCCCGAGCCTTACCTCGGCGCAGGAGTTGAAGCTGTCTACTCAGTCTCGGCGGCACTGGGAGAGGGCCAGGCTGAGCAAGGCTTTAGGCAGGCATGTGGGCTGGGCTTTGTGAGCTAGCCCTGCGGGGGTCGGAATGCATGGGGAGGGGGGCCAGGGTGGCATTGGAGGTGGGGGTGTCGCCTGCTATTTTGGCAGGTGTCAGGGACAGGGCTAAAGGAGATTGTACCCCCTCACCATATAAGCCCATGTGGTCTCCCAGCTGCTCAGATAAGCTATTTAAAACCTGCAAGATATGCAGGGGACAAGCCTGTGACACAAGCCAGTTGTCCCTCTAGAGAAGCCCCGATAAAGCAGATGCCAGCCACCGGGGCTGAGAGGGGACTGGGGGCAGGAGGGGGCCAGGACAACTGCTGTGAGCCTCCGGGGGCAGGGCCCTGGGGGAAGGAGCTCAACCTCTCTGAACAGTGGCAACATGGAGACCCCTTCCAGGCCTGCTGAGGCATGGAGCAACCTCCATGGCTCCGAAGCCACAGGACAGCCTCACTCCTTGAATATGGCTGGCTGGACATGAAGCAGAACTTCGCTTGTAGAAGTGTCGTTCTTCCTGGATGGGCACTGCATGCTGAGTGGCCGTAAGGACTGGGGACATACTAAATGCCCAGCCCTGCAAGACTGTAAGGGACACAAGGTCGGGGTCCAAGGCCTTATAGTCCCTGTGTGCTGTGCCGTCAGGGTACAAGACGAAGGTGGATGCAAGTGTGGGGACCCGCACCTGGGGACTGCACAGCTCTGCAGAAGGAACAGCTCCCTGGAGAGCAGCTGTCCTTCCCATGAGACAAGGGCCCCTGGCCCTTCCAGACTGTTAAGGATGCCCTGCTTCTCTGTTCCTCTGTGGACAAAGCTAGCCAGCTCCTGCCGGCTATCCTCTGCCCCCACTGGCCAGGCGCCCAGCCTGCCCTGGAGCCACAGCTGCTCCTACCACCAACATCCTTGACAGAATCCCATGTATGCTCCATGCCCCACCCTGCTGCCATCCCTCTTGTCCCATCTCTCAGCTGGCACTGTCCCCTCCCTAGCCTCCAGATGCCTCTGAGCCCAATGGCTTTAATTCCCAGCTCCAGGCTTATCCCCTCTCCCCACCCCATCTTCACACTGCTGGCCAGTGCCTGAGGAAAGAGTGCCCAGAGAAGCAGGTTCATGCGTTCAGGGATGGGGCAAGAACAGGAGCCAAGCTGTCCCCTGAGATGAAGGACTCGACCTTGCTTTGTGTCCTGGCCTGGAATTTAGGGCTCTGGACACAAAGATCCCTATAGTGCCCAACCCCACTCCCCGCTCCCACAGAGGAAGCCAGGACATTCTGGGTGTTCAAGGAGCACACATGAGGCTTCCCCAGCTTGTTCCAAGCCAGCACGTGGCTCAGCGAGGCCGTGAGGCAGTCACTCGGCCAGCAGCCCCTCAGTTTGGAAGCCTCAGTCATTGTAAACAGATGCAAGGTCACCTTCCAGGGTAGGATCAGACAGAGAACGCAGAGTGCTGTGCAGACACAGGGCTTCACAGGAAGATGGGCCCCGGGCAGGAGACAGGAAGGCAGTGGACAGCTTCGAGAGCACTTGACCGTCACCTCCTGTGAGTGTCCCCCTCCCTCCACTGCCCAGGCTGCCCAGACACCGCCTTGTGGCACCCATCACAGCTGAAGTCATTTGCTGCATGCTGGCTGTTGCCCTGACGGGAACAGGGCAGGTGCCATGTCACATGTGCAAATGCAAGATGGGGCTGTGACATGGTGCCCCATGATATTCCAGCACCTGCTTTGATGGTACTCCAGGGAAGGGGGTGTGGTCCCGTGGCTGCAGGGACAACCCCAGAAGGCCAGCTCCTGCTGTGTCACCCCTGTTCAGAAGTCAGGCTCCACTGCCTGAGGAATCTTCCAGGAGCCTCTCCTTCCAAAAGTTTCAAGCATGAACATCCAAAAGTCCTCTGAGCTCATGGTCAGACACTGAGGTGTAGGGAAGTGGCTGTTCCTGGGCCAGGCTCTGAGTTCCTGGCTAGAGCAGAAAGGGCTCCTAAGTCTCTGGGCACACCTGCAAGGGGCAGTGGGCAGCTCTGCAGCCCCTCGCCACCACCCCCCAACCCTCTAGTGGTTCTGGGTGAAACCAGACCAGGCTATTGAGAGGAAGAGTTCAAAGGTCTGAGGCAGGTGTTCAACCGTATGTGTGCAGACATAGCTGGAGATGCCTGCATCCCAGCAGGACATCTGGCTTCCAGTTCCTGTTTCCTGCCAAGGCAGACCCTGGGAGGCAGCAAGCGACAGTGCAATTGTTTAGGTTCCTGCCACACAGGTGGGAGAGTCAAATCAAATTCTTGATTCCTAACTCAGCCTGATCCAGTCCTGGTCATTGCAAGTATTTGGGGAATAAAACCAGCAGTTGGAAAATAAAGTGCTTGTTCCTCTCTCTCTTTTTCTCTCTCTCCTCCCCACCCCCTTTCAAATACATTTTAAAGCACTTCCAATTATGGGAGGCAAACAAGCTGTTTTTGAATGACCAGTTTGTCAGGGATCTGACGGTGCCAGCCTGACTTGGTGTGTCCTGGGTTCACCACGGGTCTGCCTCATCTGTAGCCCCCAACCTCCAGTTTAAATAACCTGTCCCACATGGCGAGAGGCCAAGAGACTCAAAAGGTTCCGGACAGCAATCACACTTGGGATATCACAGTCACGTACACCTGAGAATGAGTTTATCAGCTCCTTCCTTAGCATAGGCGAGAGGGGACCAGGGTACACAGAAAGGCCCTGAGACCCTGGCCAGAGCAGCAGGCTGGGGAAGGCAGTGAACAGCCAAGCCAGGAGCTGAGGGGATGGACCATGGGGCAAGGCACACTGCTCCCTCACAAGCTGGTGGCAGCAGCCCTCAGGGACTGTAGTGGGTGGGCCAGAGCCACATCTGGATGCACCTGGTGGAAACAGGTGAGCAGAGGCGCCCCACGTGCTCTGAGACTGGGCAGGATGCTGGGCCTCACAGTGCTATGCCCAGGACTGATGCAGGGGCCTAGGCTCTGTTGTACCATAGAAGGGGTCACAGCACACCTGTCCCCCACCCCACTCCATGCTGAGGCTGAGCAGGGGAGGGTTTACAGAGTCTGATGCTCCTAGTCAGTGGGATCCAGGCAGGTCCAGAGGCTTGAAGGGAGCAAGCACAGGAAGAGGCGGGGTGAAGGTGCAGCTGCAGGAGGCAGGGGCCTGCAGGAGGGTGGGCCATGGACACCAACGCAGACTCACAGGCTTGTCACACCTGTGGAGTAAAGGACTGTCAGAGTGAGCAGGTATGCTGCCAGGGCCTGGAGGGCAAGAGGGCTTTGCACAGGGAGGTTGCCCTTGACCTGGATCTGGGCTCAAACCCTGGTGGGGCTGGCAAGAGGGAGGCTGGGCAGGGATTTGAGGGTGGGGTGGAGCTCGGAGCATGTGGGGAAGGAAGCAAAGCCAGTGAGGTCACACGGTATTGGGACAGTAAGTTCCAGCTGCCCAAGAGAGGGGCAGCAGGCGGGGAAACGGCAGCATTCGGGAGTGCAACAGTGGCAGGCCAGTCATGTGCACATATTGAGTGAGTGCATGGCAGGGGATCCCACAACCCCTGACCCAGGTGCCCCGTCCCTCAGCCACACTCCATTCACCTCCACGTCCAAGGAAGTCTCTGGCTTCTTCCCCCGCTGAGTCTTGCTGGCTGTGGTCGCCTCTTTCCGCACCTCCTGAGTGGGCCCCAGAGCACAGGCAGAGGCCTCAGGCAGAGCCCCTCTCCTCCAGAAAGGGGACAACCCCAGACCCATCCCCTCTTCTCCACTTCTGACCCTGTCCCCAGGCCTCTCCCTGCCTGCACCCGCACTCCTGAACAACCCATAGCTCCAGGCCCAACTTCCTGTGATCCGGATCCCACCCCTACCAACCCCCCCCACACACACACACAGGCTCACAGCAACAGGGGAGGGTGGGCAGGGTACCTGGGGGTCCTGCTCCCCGGACTCCTGGGTCCGGCTGATCCACAGGTTGAGCTTCGATGTCACTACTCCTGAGAGCCTCAAGTTCTCCTAAAAAGAGGATTTGTGACCATTGGCAGCATTGCTGGGGTAGGGGTGGAGATGGGCCCCCAGCTCACACCCAGCCAGCACACACCATGTATTCATGGACAGCTCCACCCTGCCCCAAGGGATTTTCCAGCACTGCCAGGGCCAAGGGGCAGGCGTTGAGCATCCTGGGGCTCATCAACCTGGAGACACCTCACCTTCCTGATGGAAACTGGCTCCGCTCGGCCCTGGCCAACCAGCTCCTTCTCGAATAGGTGGCGCTTGCTGGCCACTCCAGAAGGGGCCACAAAGACTTCAGCACGGGAGGAGCTTGGAGACTTGACGGATTCGGATCTCTGCAACAGAGAACCTGGAGTTGACCCTGGGCTGACCCAAGCCTGCCTCATCTGGTGGGAGCCACTCATACCCTGGCCCTGCCCCCCCGGAGGAGGCCCCACCTGAATGGCCGTGTGGTATCTTTCCAATTTCTCTCCTAACCTGGCAGAGCTGGCGGGGAGTCTCATGCTGGCACTGTGGATAGGACAAAACGGGCATGGTGGGTGGCGCCTCCCCAGGCCTGAGGCTGACTCCTAACACACCCACCGCTTTGGCAGATAGAGCACAGCCCCTCTGATAGAGCAGGTTGTGAAGGTGGCCCAGGCAAGGAAGAAGACAATAGGGTCTTCCTCACCCAATAGATGAGACGGGCCCAGGGCAAAATACACCTTCCCCTCCCCACACACACTGCTGCCTTCACCCCAGGCATTCCCAGGACCTGTGCCGCCTTCCATTCCGTCCACGAGAGCAGTCACCTCCAGATCCCACCCACAGCCACTTCTGCTCTGCCCTCAAACCTGTACTGGCCTCTGACTCAGCCCCAAAGGCCATAGTAGCCCGCTACTCCAAGGAACCTCATCGCCATGTGGCAGCCAGCGGGCACCCCGCAGGCACCCTGCCTCTCACACACTGCTCTCTGTGCTTCAGATGCCACTGTCCTATGCCAGCACCCCAGGCCCCATGTCTCCCGGGCCCAATTGGCAAGGCAGGCCCCACCTGGGCCTAGACTTAGAGCCTTTTGAGAGCTGTGGACCATACAGATTCCTAGGCCCCCACACCCTACTGTAGGGACGCTGGTTCCTGGCCTCCATGCTAGGGAGCCCTCCTCCGCCCTGAAGCCCCACCCAAGCCCTGATTTCTCCCTCCCAGTTCCATCCCACTGGGCATGAGTCCCTCCTGTGAATCCCATCCCCTGCCAGACATGATACCCTAACCTGGGTCTTCCCCTGTCGTGTCCCCTGGGGCAGCCTGGCACAAAGAAGACAGGCGTGCAAAGTAATCAGAAAATAGACTGAGGAGTCACCACTGTGGTATGGCAGGTAAAGCTGCCACATGCAATGCCGACATTCCCTGTGGGTAATAGTTTTGAGTCCCAGTTGTTCCTCCTTTGATCCAGTTCCCTACTTATGTGCCTTGGAGAAGCAACACAAGATGGCCCAAGTGCTTGGGCCCCTGCCACTCCTGTGGAAGACCCAGATGGAGCTCCTGGTTTTGGCATGGTCCAGGCCTGGTCATTCCAGTCATTTGGGGAGTGAATCAGTGGATGGATGATCTGTGTCTCTCGCCAAGCATGACTTTAAATCAATCAATCAATCTTAGAAAATGTAGGCTGAGCAGGACCAAAGAGGAAGTGGCTAAATTCCCACCTGCGGGTAAAGGGTGATTCTGAATTTTCTTTCCTGGGGCTCATCTGAAATGAGAAGGGAATATGATGGTTAGTGTCTCTGGGAGGTGGTGGTCCTAGTGGGTGAGGGGCTCAACGCTGGGGTCCTGTCCTCCCAGGACCGTCACCAGCACCAGAGAAATCCAGGTTTGCACCTTAGAGGCCTTTGTTCCACTTGACAGCCCCTGGGCTACCTATAGCGCTCCCAGCAATCTGGGTCTGAAGCCCTTCGTCAGGTGCCACAGCCTCAACCTCCAGCATCCCCTACCCGAGGGCCTGGTCCACACCAGGCCTGTGTAGCACAGCCCCTCCTGCAGGTCTGTTCTTTGCCCACTGGGTGGCACTGCTCGTGCTTCTGCTCACCCACCCCAGGGAATCCCAAGGAATCCCTGGGAACCGGGCCTCCCTTGGCTTGCCCAGCAGCGGACTGGAAACGAGTGGGGTCCCAGGCACTCACCCGAAAGGAGATGGTCCTGGGGCTGGAGCGTTTGAGCGAGCTGCTGTAGGTGAGCCGGGATGGTGAGGATGCATCCACCTCTTCCTCTCTGCTTGGGATCCTCACCTAGATGGAGTGGGTGGGAGACAGGGAGGGTCACAGCCTGCAGCTGCCTTGCCTGCCTCCCTGCAGTGTGGCTGAAGACACAGCTCCATGCCTCACCAAGCTTTCTAGGAGAACTTCTGCTGGGGTCCTGGAGCCCCATCCTGGGGGGAGCTGTGGGATGAGATGCCAGGAGTTCCATGCCCCACCCACAGCAGGTGCCTCTTTCAGCTCCAGTGAGCTGCTCAACCTTGGTGTCCTGACTGGAGGCAGGCAGGCAGGGAGAGAAGGAAGGGCCAGGACCAGCCTGGAGGTGAGAGAACAGAAAGCAGGAGCCAGAGCCCATAGGGCAGGCTGAGGGACAGCCAGGGACAGAGACACAGGTTCATTGCCCACCTGGAGCGTGATGGGTGGGAGACGAGATGCCACAGGTGGCGGGTCAGAAGGTGAGTTCTCCCTGGGTGAAGGTCTTCCTCTCTGATCCTTGGCTGTGGCTGCGCTCCCCCGAGGGGCTTCCTGCTCAGACGCTGCTCCCCGCTTGGTCTCTGCAGCGGAGGACTTGTCAGAGACCAGCGACTTCTCAAAGATGGAGGCTCTCTCCGACACCAGCTTCCTGCTGGAGGCCAGCTTGGCCGGTGCCTTCTCCAAGACCTTTGGCTGTTCTAAAGCTGACTTCGCTGCCAACACAGAGGCCTTCTCAGGGGCTGCCAGTGTCTCCGTACGGCTCATCTCTCGCAGATGCGCCTTCTCCAGGGGCTGGCCTCCCTTCTCCCGCTCTGTGCCCTTCCTGGGCCCAGGGGTCATCTCTGGGATGGACGCCTTTGCAGAGGTGGAGGTTTTCTCAGAGACCAGTCTCTTTTCCGGGGTTTTCTCCAGCACAGGGGACTTTTCTGAGGCTGGGGTCTCTTCTGGAACCCCCTTCTTGCCTGCTCTTGACTCCCTGTCTGCTGGGCTCTCCTCCTCACTCTTCGCCCACAGTGCCCGCTGCTCCCGGCTCAGTCTGTGACGAGGCAGCGGCTCCGGGTCCTTGCTGGGCACCGGGGCTTGCGGTGCAGCCTGCCCGGCATCCACGCTGTCCCTTCCTTCCTCTGCCTCCAGCCTCTCCTGGCCAGTGGTCTCCACTGCCTGCCGTCTCTGCCGCCGCTCCCGTCGCGTCCTCAGGATGGCCTGGATATCCTCCTCATCCTGGGGGGCTGAGGGTGCTGGCTTGGGAGTCTCGGCTTCCTCCACACTTGGCAGCCTGGGTCAGGAGAGAGAATGTCAGAGGATCTCAGGAGGTAGCGGGAGGGATCCTGGGTGCACCTGACCTGGGGAGGCACCTCCTGGACCACCATGGCCTTGGCTTCCCCCTGCCACCACCCCTTCAAATTGGATTTGCCTATATCTACTCAGTGGGATTACAAGGCACCATTTGAACAGAAAGTTTGGTGCTTTAAATCAACATTTCCAGGCACAGCCAGTGTGGCTGGTTTATACATGCCAGGGCCTGCGTGGGGCACAGGGAGTCAGAAGGAACACCCTCAGTGCCTTCATCCCCAAGAGCTTAGCCAGGAAGCAGAGGTGGCCAGGGGCTGGACAGGCCACACAGCTTGGGACGGACCCAAGGCTCCTAATGTGCCATCCCTACTACCGTCACTCACGCGGGTGCAGCAGGTGTAGGCAGCAGCACGGACACTGGTGTGGTCCAGGGCATCCCCCATCCTCCCTTCTCTGGAGGACCAAGAGAGCACTAGCAACACAGCACTGCCCACTACCTTGGCCTTCTGCCGATCAGCAAAAAATGCCCTGTTGCTGCCCTACCTCACTGTTCTGTGTGTTGAGGGGCAAGTTATGTCCCCACCCAAGCCTCGGTTTCCAAGGCTGCAGCCTGGACCTGTTTGGAGGGGAGATGAGAGCCTTCCCATAAGCACATCCAGCACAGCCCTGGCACTCAGCTGGTTCCTGTCCCGCTGGTCCTCTCCATTGTAATATAGAAGTTTAGAGGGCAAACCCTGCCCCACACACCTCCCCCCAGAACATCAGCACCAGAGGAAGGAGGCCTGAGAAACCTGGGGGGAAACTCTGACTTTCCCTCCCCCAGGTTTAGCATACAGGCGTGTCAACAAGGTCACAGGAAATGGAGGTCAAAGCGGAAGTTGTGTTAGGCCAAAACATTTTTAAAATCCATGCACATGAGAGAACTTAAAAAAACTCATGAAAAAAATGTCAATTATGAAAATATGCGTGGATTTCACAACTATTTTTGTCCCACAATCAGCTCCTTTTCCACAAACGTTCTTTGGTACTCTAGTGTTGGGACAGTAAGAAAGCTCAGATGATGGGGGACAACTTTGTGGCATAACAGGTCAAGCCACTGCCTACAATGTTAGCATCCCAAACGAGCACTGGTTTGAGACCCGGCTGCTCTACTTCTGAACCAGCTTCTGGCTAATGAACCTGGGGAAGTAGCAAATGATGGCTGAATTCTTGGGCCCCTGCACCTTAAATGGGAGATCTGATCAGAGCTCCTGGCTTCAGACCAGCCCAGTTCTGGCTACTTGCTCTGCCCTGGTTGTTGCAATGGGCAGATTTGGCTAGTAGCCACTGTAGAAACCCGTACAAAAGCCCATCGTGAACTTCTAGTGGGGGCTGCTGCTTTTATCGCTCCTGGTGCTGGCTACATAACATCCCATCTACGTGCAGCTGCATAAGCTTGGTCCCAAGGCCCTGGACACTTTGTCCCATTCTCCACCCATAAAACCAGCCTGTAACTTCCTCTCTCCGAGGCACATGTGAGAATGAAGTGGGTTATGCCCATCAAACATCCTGCAAAGCACCAGCACACAACAGGGCCTCCACCATAAGCAGTGTGGGCTAGGAAAGGCCAGACTTGAAGTTCATTCACATTCCCTTCTACCTCATTACTGGGGTCCAGCACCTGGGCACACACATGCACACTGCCCACCCGGCCCCAGCACCTCTCGGTTGCCTGCTGGTCTCCATTCTGGGCAAGCCTGGGAGACTCCTCCTCCGTGGTGGTGCTCAGGTTGCGATGGCGCCGCCTGCGTTCACGCTCCTGCTCCTCCTCATCCTCCAGTGTCCGCTGCCGGGCCAGGCTAGGGGATAGAGGCGGAATCAGAACAGCCCAGAGGGACCCCAACCAAGCCAGATCCTGACACTCTATACCCCTTCCAAACAAGGAGAAGTCACAAAATGTCCCAAGGCCTCCGTTGCCCACAAGTCACCAAGAGGTCCTTGAAATGCAGCAGGTCTGACCTGAGATGCTGCAGGTGCAAGGCAGGTGCCGGATTCCAGAGGCCTGGGATGCAGGTGGTAAAAGCCGCCCTAAGAACTGTATGTGTGGAGGCATGCCTTGGACACAGCTTAGTTGGTACAACCTCCAGATGGGTGGGTCTGGCTCCCCCAACTTCCTCCACTTCCAATCCATCTTGCTGCCCCCCTGGGGAGGTAGCAGCTGACCTGCCAGGTCCTTGGGGTGCCCTGGCCCCAGCCCCAGCTGTCATGGACATCTGGGAAGTAAACCAACACATGTAAGATCTGGCTCTCTTTCAAATAAAAATACATTTTCAAAAATCTTGTTTAAAGAACAACTATAGGGCCCGGCGCGGTGGCACAAGTGGTTAAGGTCCTCGCCTTGCACGCCCGGGATCCCATATGGGCACCGGTTCTATCCCGGCAGCCCCGCTTCCCTTCTAGCTCCCTGCCTGTGGCCTGGGAAAGCAGTCGAGGACGGCCCAAAGCTTTGGGACCCTGCACCCGCGTGGGAGACCCGGAAGAGGCTCCTGGCTTCAGATCGGCATAGCATCGGCCCGTTGCGCTCACTTGGGGAGTGAATCATCGGACGGAAGATCTTCCTCTCTGTCTCTCCTCTCTGTATATCCGCCTTTCCAATAAAAAAAAATTAAAAAAATAAATCTTAAAAAAAACTATATATTTGAATTCCATTTCAAAACAATCATATTAGAATTAAAATAGTAACAACATTGTCCAGAGGAAAAAACAGGGTTTTTTTCAACGAGACTACAAGAATGTGTTCAAATGTTCTGATATGGTTTGCATCCAACACCTGTTAGATTTCTACAGCCGGTACAGGGGTCGGTCAGGCCAGGGTTTCTCTACACCTTGGCTGGACAGGTCCCTGGGACACAGCAGCCCTGACTGTTGGACATCACCACACCCCTAGCCTCTCTCCTACCAAGTCCCAGTCACTTTATCCCTGGGTGGAGACACCCAAACATGCCTGCCAGCATTGCTAAACGAGGGTCCATGGATGCAAAACCACCTCTGTCCCGCCATGAGAACCACCAGTGGACTTGACCCAGGGCTTTCTCTGGTCCTAGGAGGCCTGGGACAGGGCCCTCAGTGGATGACAGCCAAGCAAGTTCCTCAGTTTCCTGGGGAATTCCGTGGCCTGGCAGAGCAGATTCCCAGGAAGACCAAGCACCCCTTCAGACGCCCCAGGGTCACCTACCTTTTGCTTCCCCTCCCAGGGACTCTTGGGGCCTTCTCACTTTTCAGAAGCAACCATCCCTTATCTGGGGGAGCAAGGGAACCCTGACCTCCCATCAAACGGATCCCACATTCCGAGCACCAGGCAGGCATTCTCAGGCATCCAGTCTCCTGCTGCCTCATTCAAGCATCACCTACTCAGGCACCTGTCAATCAACCATCTACCACCCAATCTCCTTCCATTTCTGGAGTCTTCTGTCACTACCCCCCTCCCCCCATCTGCCACCCAAGGCAAGCAAGACAGCTGTGACAGGCCAGCACCACACAGAGGGACAAGGGTGGCCCAGGACAGCCCAGCAGGGTCACTGTTCTGGAAAGGTCCACAACCTTGTGTGCAGAGGGATGTCCATCAACAGCTCTATGTAAATCATAGACCCCCAAGTTGCACAGGAGATGCAACTATGGCCTCCCGGAATCAGAGACCTCTTGTGGGAGTCGCTGGCAGTGCTGGGCAAATAATCCAGTTTCTTGTCTTGTTGCCTGGTACAGGAGGACAAGCAGGGTGACCCATGCCACAATTCTGCTGTTCGGCCAGGCCCAGCATTCCCTTAGCAGAGCTAGCACCCAGTGCACCAACTTTGTGAGCACCTACTTCAGTGTAGGCAGGGCCCCAAGACTGGGACACAGCAGCGAGTGAAGCCAATAGGGTCCTTGCCTTCCAGGGGTGCCTGCAGGGTAGGGAGAACCAGCAAGCACAGAAAGCCCATGAACGGAGGGCCAGCATTAAGGCATAATGAGTTAAACCACCAACTATAGCATCAGCATCCCATATGGGCACCCTTCCCCTACACCCAAATCTTAGATGTTCCCCTTCTGATTTAGCTCCCTACTTGTGCACCTGGGAAAGCAGTATTTGTGCCCCTGTACCCATGTGGGAGACCCAAATGAAACTCTAAGCTCCAGATTTTAAGCTGGCCCAGATTTAGCCATGTGGGAATGAGCCAACAGATGGAAGCTTAATCTCTTTCTCTCTCTCTCTCTTGCTCCTACTCTCTCTAACCTATTCATTTCCAGTAAATATTTCAAAAATTAAAGAAAAAAAAACTATGCTATGAACAAAACAGTAAGAGCTCATGAGGACAAGAGGGAGGGAGCAGGTCAGGGGGAGGCCTAAGACAGGGTGCACACCCCAAGGCCCAGGAGGAGGGTGGCCCAGGGAGAGCAGAGGCCCAGCAAAGGCACTTGCCGGCTCAGGCCTGGAGGGCAGACCAGGGTGTGGCCCACAGCAGAGGCACAAGGCCAGCAAGAAAAGCCTGCTTTTTCCTTCTGAGGGTACTGGGACACCAGAGGCAAGTGATACACAGAGTCCCTCCACGAGACCCCCTGCTTCATCTCTGTAGTGCTCAGCCTGCGAAGGGGACAAGACTCGGGGAGAGCTGTGGGTATGCAATGTGTGCCGTTTCTAGCGCTGCCATCAGTGTGTCTAAGGCTTGTGAGAAACCACAGATTTCAGCGCATCTTGGCAGCAACATTGGTCGACTTTTGATTCCAGTTTCCCACCAACTTCCTGAAGCCCCTTTAGTGAGTTGGGCCAGAGCCAGAAAGGGGAACCCGGGGAAGTCACCAACTCATCAGAGAAGTTTCAGCAAGAAGTAAAACCCACAAAACAGGACCATGGCTGGAGACATGCACGAAGAGAGCCTTCAGTAAACTGAGGTCTAATCCACAAAAATACCCAGATCCAACCTTTTGTTCTTTTAAAAAAATAAGTGAATGAAGAAGAGTGGAGAGGTTTGAAGAAGAAGAAAAAAAAAAAGACAAGTTTTGAGATGTATGCAGGAGTAGGGAATCTGATGTGTGGCACCTAGCACATAACAGGTGCCAGCAAGCAGGCAAGCACCAATGGCAGGCTTCACCTCCACCTTCCCATAACCAGGAAGAGCGCAGGGCAGGGAACAAGGTCAGGGCCCTCAAGCAAGCTGCCCAGCTTTCCATCCAGGAAAGGAGCGGCTTTGGAAGGAAACACCCAGGTCCTCCCACCTCTACCATCAGGGAGGGCAGATGTTCATCCTGTGTCAGTCCCACAGTGGAGACCGAGAGGGGACCACAAGAGCATCCCTTCTGGCCTCACCAACCCTGTGAACAACCTCTCATTCATGCACGCATTCACTTACTCACTCCGCATTAGCAGGCGGTCTCCTGTGGGCCTGGCTCCCTTCTCTCCCTCACCTGCTGCTGGTTGCCTTCAACTCTCTCCTTCCCTGGATATACCCTGCCCCTGGTTAGAGATATGAGAGCAACTAGAGCCTTTTAAAGCCACAGACCGGGACAAGAGGCTCCCTGACGCTAGCACCCACAGCCTCCTGGAGTCCTTGATCCTGAGCACCCAGGTCTGCCCTCAGGGAAGTGGCCTTTTTTAATCACCCCCAGCCGTGGAGCATGATCAAGCCAGAGAGCCTTCTGTCCTCAGAAATGACCCCACTCCCCAGCTCGTCCAGGCCCAGGCTGGAGAAGGGGACCCAGGTTGACACCAAGACCCCACGGCCCATCCCACGTGACACAGTCCCCACCTCTGCCACTCAGGGCAGTGAGTCCCTTCAGCAGCAGCACCACACCCTGGGGGAGGAACGCTTTCTCCAATAATCAAAGTGTTATTGGCCTCTGCAGAGGAGGAAATGTCTAGAAATGAAAGGGAAGAAAGAGCAAAGGTCTGTCCTCAGGAGGGACCTGGGCAGGTACAGTGGCCTTTGGAAAGCCCAACAGCAAGCCCATCGGCATCGCCAGGCACTGCTCTACACATTTCACAAATGCCCTTGCAACAACCCTGCTATGTAGGGAGGTGCAGAAACTCAGGCTCGCAGGGGTCAGTGAGCCTCCCAAGACAGTACAGCTAACAAAGGAAGGGGTGGAGACTGCAGCCTAGGCCACAATCCCAGAAGCTCACACCTTTTTCCATAGACCACCTGCCAGCAGTGGATGTACAAGGGTGGGGGATGGGGGCATGAGGGAGGCTGGCCCTGAACCAGAGTGAGGCCCCATCTACCAGTGAACCTGCACAGGGAGGAACAGAGAGACCCAAGAGGCCCAGATAATGTAAGATTCCCTGTCCTAGAACTTCACTGGAGTTCAGGGTGCATTTGGGGAGCGCAGAGGTTTGGGGAAACTCAGTGATCCTTGATCCCAGGAGGCAGACCCAGAGTGGGACCTGCAGGCTCCAACAGTCGGAGGCTGATGCCCCAATCAGCTGCTTCCCTGGCCCAATCCTGACTCTCTCGTTGACACCCTTTGGGGGCAGGCTCCTCTTTTATTGGTCAATAATGTTCAAAGTCGGCTGAGTGGTTTGGACCTCTACCCTCGGTGGGGCACGGGCAAGGGTGGTGTTCTAACCCCCATCCTTCCTACAGCTACTGAGGGTGGCAGGCAACTGGTCAGAGCTGGTGGGGGCCCTAGTCTCCCAAGGTGAACCCTGCAGAAGCCCGTCACCCTTGGACGAGACCCAGCCACTGTGGCTAAAGCAGGGAGAGGGCACAAAGGCTGCTCCCACAAGTGTCTAGTGTAACTCTGGGGGACAAGGGGAATTCTTGGGAACAGGAGTGGGGAAGGGGAAGCAGAGGAGGGGCCTGGCCATGACTTTGGGCCACTGTTTAGCCCCAATCCTCAGGCACAATGAGAGGTCCCTTCTAGCCTTCTCGGCATGGGGAGAGGTGGCCGGCATTAACACAGGGGAAGGCTTGAAAGTGGTAAGGCTGCTCAAGGCTCCGGCAGGGGAATGATTAACCACTGGCTATTCAGTCCCAGGCACTCTCAGATCCACCCCTTTTCCCCCCTGCAGACAGGCCCAGCCCAGCCTCACCAGTCACCAGGCCTGTCCGGGGCACCCAGTCAGCCAGCACACCATCACCCCCAACCAAGGAACAAGGCATCTAGATTCCCGGCTTTGCAAGGCTGAGGCCCCCGGCTCCACCCCCCTCCTCCCTGGCTAAGGCTGCAGCCACACAGGTCACACCCTCCGCACCGTCCTCATCCTCCGCAGCACCTGCCTGGAGGCTCCCGGCAGTGACTCAGGGCCCCCTGCCCACCTGCCCGCCGAGCCTTGTTGTTCACCCCGAGGAGCAGGGCAGAAGCGCGCCTCTGTTCCAGGTGCCTCATCAGGGCAACTGTTGGCAGCTGTTGCATCTTCCCACAGAGCTCTGCGAGCTGGGGCCAGGCAGGGCAGGCAGGCCAAGGGCTCCCATGGCAGGACTGGTTCCCCAAGCTAGCCCTGGCACTCACTTTGGACAGCCTGTGGGAACCGAGCCCCACCCCTGTGGCCACATGAGCCCAAGTCCGCCTGAGCCAGAGAAGAAGCTAAACCCACACCTCACTCCTGTTTTCCAAGTTCCAGAGCTTAGGCTGCGCGTGTGCACACACACACACACATACCCATCCCCTGTGCATATCCAGACACGCACTCAGACACAAAATCACATATTCCCGCCCTACCACAGGCTCCCAGGGAAGCCAATGCACAGCGCTACTAAGGTCTTCCATCAAGAAGATGCTCAGTCTCCCCGGCTCCATACCATGCCACACAAGAAGCCGCTGCCCACGCAGCCGGCCCATAAACAGGCTCACCCACATGCACGCCTGGACTCAGAGGCGAGCGCGGGCACAGAGAGGGCCCCGCCCAGCAGCAGACACTCCCACGCCAACACCAGGCACACTGACCCCCCAGGCAGAGTCCAAGGTCTTGATCCCCCTCCACGCCCCACCCTACTGCTGACCTTCCCTGGGGCGTGGCCAGCCTGGCTTACCTCTTCCCCTCCCTGGACCCCATGGGCCCTCGGCACCAGGGTGGCCAGGCAACCAAGCTTGGGGTGGCGTGAGGGTCAAGGGGAAGACGGATGAGCGCAATGCCCCAGACGTGTGGTACCCACACAGCCGGGAGGGAAAGGGGATTTGCTGGTTGGCCCTAACCTCACGGGTGCAGCAGGACCCAACGGCCCACCTGGGAAAAGCCACAGGACCAATTTGTACCGGGCCAGGGCCCAAGCAATTGAAGGAATGGGGCTCCAGCTGTGGGCTATTCCCCGGTCTCAGTTCCCCCAGGTTCACACAGAGGGGAGCAGGGATGGGAGCCCCTGGTGCAAGTGCTGCAGGCTTCAGGCACACTTGCAGAGACACAAGTGGGGAGCAGTTGCAGGGAAGCCACTAACCACAACGAGGGGGCTGCCTCCTGGACACCACTCTCCCAAGGGTCCCTGACCCCTATAGGCCCAGCCCCCTGACCTTCGGGGTCCACTCACTAAAACCGGCTACAGACAGAGGGGCCCCAATGCCACCCAAAATGACACACTAGGACCCGAGCCTCTCTCAGCAGAGGCGCTGTCTGCTGTCCCCTCTGCTCCTAGTCACCGGCCCCTCTTCTACTGACCCCTGCGGTGGTGAGGCTAGCTCTGGAGCAGGGAAGCTGCGGGGGAGGGGGTGGCGGGACATCTCCCAGGGCCCACCCCACACTCCAAACTTCCCACTTCCGCAGAGCACACCCCCGAGACTGCTCAGATCTACAGAGGGAAGTTTCAGAGTAAGGGAAAGCACCCGGGATTCCAGGGGTCCCCAATTTGGCCCCAATTCCAACCCGGGCCTCAAGGCCCCGGGTTCCAAGGAGGGAGAGAAGTTTCCCACAGCCGGTCAGCTCACCTGGACAGCGCCGACCAGTCCTTCCTGCCCGCAGCCATGCCGCGTGCGTGCTCACAGTACTCCGCACGCTCCGTGCTCCGGGATCGGTGCTCCGTGCTGCGCACCCGGGGCCGCGCCTCACCTGCAACCCTCCCCGCCCAGGTGGGGTCACGTGTTCGCTTATCTCACCCGCGGCCGCGCGCCCATTTGCTGACCTGGGAGCGGCCCCTGGGGTATGGGCGGCCCAGACAAAGCGGCCCGGATACCCCCGCGCCGCCCCGAGCGCTGGGGCACGGGCGCCCCCCGGGCCGCGGGAGCGCGGGACGGACAGACGCCCGGCTGCGCAGAGCTGCTCGACTGCCCGGGGCCAGGGCGCGAGAGACTTCCTGCCCAGAACCAGTCGGACCAGCTTCGGTGCTGGGCCGCCTCTGCTCGCCGCCGGGTGGCAGCCCCGGGGTGCCGGGGAGCGAGGCGAGGGGCGGGGACCCGAGGCTTGGGGTCAGGATGAGCTCACTCACTGCCTGGAAGTCGACTTTAGCCCGGAGAAACCCGAGAGCAGAAAGCGGGGCGGCGAAGTTAGAGCAGGTACCGTAATCTCGGGTCTAGAGCGTGCGCGGGGGCGCCCTGCACGCCCATCCTCGCGCTCCCCAATCTTCTGTGGCCCTGCGCCCCAACAGGCCTGCTGAGACCCAGCGGCATCGCTCCCGCGGCTGCTACTGCGGACAGAATGCGCCCCGTAGGAAGCGAGAAGGTCCGTCTAGTTCAGCTTAAAACGCCCCCATCCCTGTCAGAAGCAGCCTTCCCTGTGGTCCCAGACCCAGGGCTGGAGGGTGTAGAGGGCAGGTGGAACAGGACAGCGCGAGTGCACACCACCAGGCCTGGAGTTGTGGAGCCACTTGGGGCAGTGCCAGCACCAGCACCCCCCCTACACCCGCCTGTCTCCCGGAAGTGCCCGTCTGAGCTGGTGCTCTGCCAGGTACTTTCTCCCCCTAAGCCAGCCCCCAGTGGGCTAGACGCGGTTGCATCTCATCTTCCTCGTGGCTGGAAGGTGCAAATTCAGCAGAAGCGGCAGAGGCCCTAACACCCAGCGCCTGGCTGCCCGGCCTCGGCTTGCTGTGGGGCTGGTCAGGCTGCTAGGTACAAGCCTGGGCGGGCAAGGCCCACACTCACTTTTGCATGCACCTGCCTTCTGGGGTCAAAGCACAAGGACTGAATTGCAGGGCTCTGATTCAGCCGTCCATGAGCTCTGCGACTTGCCTTACCTTTCTCTGTGAAATGGGAGTAGTCACACCTGCTTGTCTCCTCCCAGGTTGCAGGATCAGCTGTTTGCAGCCAGTCATGCAGCTGCGAGCTATGTGCTCTTTCCCCAATAGGGGGAAGGGGAGAGCTGTAACCCAGCTCCCAGCAACATCCTGGTAGCACCTTCCCGTGGGAGGAAGAGCAGATTTGGTCATTGGAAGCCTGGGCCTGTCAGGGATACTTCATGAGGCCGGGAGGCAGTGAGATACTAAGAGCCCAACAGCCAATACCCCCTGTATGGAGCAAAGGTTAGTCTGCAGGCAGCTCAAGAGGTAAAGAAAAGTGATTCCCAAGAGCCAGCAGAAAGGCACAGTGGGTCAAGATGCCCCATGCAGTCCTGACTGCTCCACTTTTGATCCAGCTCCCTGCTAATGTGTCTAGAAAGGCAGCATGAGATTACCCAGATACTTGGCTCCCTGCACCCATGTGGGAGACCCAAATGAAGCTCCTGGCTTCTGCCTGGCCCAGCCCAGCCCCCACTGCAGCCATCTGGGGAGCAAACTGGCAGATGGAAAAATGTGTCTTTCCCTATATATATTATTAAGATTTTATGCATTTGAAAGAGTTGCAGAGAAAAAGGGAGAGACACACAGAGAGAGAGATCTTCCATCTGCTAATTCACACCCAAGATGACCAGGGCTGTGCCACACTGAAGTCAGGAGCTTCTTCAGGTCTTCCACATGGGTACAGGTGCCCAAGCATTTGGGCCATCTGCTTTCCCAGAAAAATTTAGCAGGGGACTGGACCAGATGTGCAGCAGCCAGAAGTTGAACTGGCACCCCTATGGGATGCCAGCACTGCAGGGGGCAACTTACTCCACAATGCCAGCACCCTCTTGCTATCTTTCTGCAGCTCTAGCTTTCAGATAAATAAACCAGTCTTCATAAAAGTGAATCGTGGACTTGTTAGTGCCCAGAAAGTTCTTTGGAGGCAGGTGGACTGTCACTGATGGTGGCTTTAAGTGGCAGGAATTTGTTCTCAGGGTGCTAAAGGCTGGGAATATGGGCAGAGCCATGCCCCCTCCCCAGGTTCCAGGGTAAACTCCTGTCGCAGATTCCCAGCTTGCCTGGCCGGCTGTCCTTGGAGTTCTGTGCTTGTGCTGAATCACCCCACGTTTTGCTTCCAACATCACATGGCCTTCTCCACATGTCTGAGTATGGGTCCAAGGTTCCCTCATAAGGACCTTAGATTATAGCGCCTAGAGCGACCTTGCTTTAACTTGATTACACCTGCAAAGGCTTTGTTTCCACATACGGTCATGGGTCCCAGAGACTATGGAGGGGAAGGGGACAGTGTAGAATTTTGCCCATTGTAATCAAGAAGTGATGCTGTCATTGAATGACATAAAAAAGGTAAGGGCTCAGTTTCTGACCTCAAGACACTTCCAGGCCAGAGATGAGGAGACACACATGCTGAAGTGTGCACACGTGTTCATACAAGGGATACACACACACGCATATACCTACCACATTCAAGCCAGACTGTAAGAGAAACGGTGAAATTCTGTCATTGGGAGGGACAGGGGGTTGTGACATGTCCTCAGCTGCAGGAGCCGTTGGCACAGACAGTAGGGACCCAATGTGCTCAGGAGTCTTGTGGTCTTGTTGCAGGATGTGTGGAATTTGAACCTAAGGACAGTATGGCATTGCAATGGGAATTCTCATGCGAGTTGAGACGATGACGCTGGGGAGGACAGTGGGACAAAGGCAAAAAGAGCAAACCAGGTGCCACTGATGAGCCAGGCCTGGGGAAGAGGGTGGCCTCCGACGGCCAAGGGTTTCTTAGCCTCAACTCTGCTGATGTTTGGGACTGCCATTCGTGGTGCCTGTGCATCATGGCACAGCAGGAGCCTCAGCCCTTGCCCTGGAAGACAGCCTAGGAGAGGTGTCCAGCAGGTGTAGGAGCTCAGGAGGCAGCCCTGCCCCATGCTTCCCGTGGCACTGAGGGTGACTGCAGAGGAGCCAGGAGGAAGGAGTTCAAGGGCATTGGCATCCAAGTCGCCTGTGTCCTGGCTCGGCCAGTATCCTTTGAATGTCTCACCCTCCTCAGCATCACCCCGCCCCACACTGCCACCACATGCAACCCTGGGTTGCGGAGAAGCCGAGATCTGGAGCATTCTAGAATTCTGGTCAAACCAAGAGGTCGCACAGCAGCCACTGTCAGTGGCAGGCAGGTGTGCCCATGGTCCAGTAACACTGGCACTCTGGGTTAGGAAAGCATCAAGCAGGAGGCATAGGAGAGAGGTCAGTGCATACATACCCACGGCGGCCGACACCTGGAGCCACCCAGGACCTACTAGCTGGGGCATGCACAAGGAAGCCATGGGACTCCCATTACTGCATCCTCTCACCACAGTGAACACAAATGGACTGCCATGACACAGGGTAGACTGACAGCCTCTGCATATAGGGCAGGCAGCCAAGTGTTTGCAGTGATGTGAACTTGACAGGAAGGTGCAGAACTAAGTGATGGGCTGTTTAGAAATTCATAAACATTCATAACATTATAAAGATCCCCGAGAGGGCTATTTAGTGCCCCCCTTTATCCACAGAGAACACATTCCAAGACCCCCAGGTAGGATCTTGCAACCACAGAGGATGCCTAACCCCACATACACTCCTTTTCCCTATAATGCATAATTGATGAATTGCCCATAGTGGGACTGGCATTATGGCATAGCACATTAAGCTGCCCCCTGCAGTGCCAACATTCCAAATGATTGCTGATTCATATCCCAACTGTTCCACTTCCCATCCACCTCCTTGTTCATGTGCCTCAGAAAGCAGAGGAAGAGTGTTTAAATCCTTGGGCTCCTGCACCCACCTGGGGAGCCCAGCAGAAGCTCCTGGAGCCTGCCTTTGGCCCAGCCTGACTTGCAGTTATTTAGGGGTAAGCTAGTAGATAGAGGATCATCTCTCCCTTTCTCTTTCTGCATAACTCTACTTTCCAATATATAAAAAAAAATTTAAATATGAACTTGATAGCTAATAGTAAATAAAGCATTCAGAACAATGTGCTATTAAGAAACCACCACTACTCTTGCTCTTTGAAGCCATCATTTTTTTAAAGATTTATTTTTATTGGAAAGGTGGATTCACAGAGAAAAGGAGACACAGAAAGATCTTCCACCCACTCACTGGCTCACTTCCCAAATGGCCCACAACAGCCAGAGCTGAGCTGATCTGAAAACCAGGAGCCAGGAGCTTCTTCAGGGTCTCTCATGCAGGTGCAGGGTCCCAAGGACTTGGGCCATCCTCTACTGCTTTCCCAGACAATAAGCAGAAAGCTGGATGGGAAGTGGAGCAGCCAGGACACAAACTGGTGCCCATATAGTATCCTGGCGTGTGCAAAGGGAGGATTTAGCCACTGAGCCATTGCACCGGGCCCTGGAGCCATTATTAAGCACAATAAAGGTTACTTGGGTAAAACTCCTATGCTAGTGCTACAGTGTGGTCACTGAGCCGGCTGCCAGGTGCCTGCCAGGCGAGTGCTGCTCCCAATCACGGCGCAAGGACGTGAGACTGCAGCTCCTGACTCAGAACAGTGCAGACGTGAAAGTCAGGAATTGTTTCTGAAATTTTCCATTTCAGTTTTCAGGCATGGTTGACTGCAAGTAACAGAAAACTTTAAATTGGGATGAGGGACTCCTGTGAAAACAAAGGGGAGGATTAGGAGCCGACACTGTGGCATAGTGAGTTAAGCCACCACCTGGGATGCCAGCACCCTCATATGGGTGCCAGTTCGAGTCCCAGCTGTTCAA